TGAAGTTCTCTGTTCCTAAATGTTTGTTTAAACAATATGTAAGCATTGTCAAGTACTACGAATAATTTTGTAATGAATTAAGAGTTTATTACGCGCACCATAAAGGTAGAAATCCAAACTTCTATTTGACATGTACTCATAAACCAGTATTTTCTCTTCTTTTTCGATGCAAAATCCCTGAAGTTGTAGAACATTGACATGTTGCAACTTTGAAGCAAGTGAGACCTCATTCTGAAACTCTTCTACTCCTTGCTTGGAGTATTCTGAAAGACGTTTTACTGCGATTTCCTGTCCATCACTTAACCTTCCCTGGAACAATAAGGAGTATGATTTTGAGGTTCATGATCTAAATTTTAAGATTCGGAGGTACAGAGAGCCGGAGATGGTTAAAAAGTAATTCAAATATCTAAAACTAGAGTTATATGCATGTCTTAACTATGAGACGTTATGTGGAAAACTTACAAAGTATTCCGAGGAGGAAATACTGATCAAGAAGAAAATCCTAAAGATACAGAACTTTCTATGTACAAGCTATTCTATTTTTGTCAATTTCATATTTAGATTTTTGTCTCGAATTTCTCCATAGATTTTAGTCAAAGTAGCCAAAAATCTCGACTAGTTGAGTTACCAATACCTTATAAACAGGTCCAAAGCCTCCCTCTCCAATCTTGTTTTTGATGGAGAAATTGTTTGTAGCTTCTTTTATTTGACCAAAGCTGAAAACTTTGAGATTACGACCTATAATCAAAGGTATCAATTCCTCGATACCTATAATCAAAGGTAAAACTTTTAAGTTCCACTATATTCCGATTAGTCGTTTAAAAGAAAGAGTGACAAGGAATTGATATATATTAGTTACCTTCAGATCTTACAGTTTTCTTTTTTAAGATACAACGTATTGAACTTATTACGATAATGGTACTGATCGTGATCGTTGGCAAAAGAATTGCTAGTAACCTTCTCTGGTCTTCTTCTTCTACGTCTGAGGCTGTAAAGAAAGTTATCATGTTTATACGATGTTATCAAAAGCAGAAGTCACAAAAAAGCTCTTAGATATGTTGTTGTTGTTGTATATGTACAAATAAATTGATTTCCTTTTATGATAATGTGATATATCAATTGTTTAGTGTCGCCTCATCGACAAGAAAAAGTATGTTTTAGAACTTTGATAACGGCACTGAAGCACATATTAAACAAGGCGAACCACTCAATATGTTTTTGAGCCTTGCTGCAGGGCTTAAGCTCACCTTTGACAACAGTGTTTATATTTTGTGAAAATGTGTGATAGAGCTGAGTGAATCTTGAAATGAATAAGCAAGCTCTGTATGATGGTTATTCCCTTCCTATGGATGTAAAACAATACTTCCCTATCCCGTCTCAATTTAAGTGTCTTACTTTCTTTTTTTCGTCTGTTAAAAAAAGAGTGTTTCTTTCTATATTTCAACATTCTACGTGACAAGTATACTGGAAGACAAACTATAAGAGAGATTTGCAAAGGATTATGATGTAACCTGCTTTTGAAAGCTCCCAATCGACATCATCGTTAGGAATTTGGAATGCAGCAAATCCACGAAGCCCCTTATCCTTCGCGTAAGAAACTTTAGTTCTTATAGCTTCAACATCATCATAACCAATCCAAAGTGGTCCAATAGTAACATAGTTCACAACATAAGTTGAGTTATAGACAAGTATGGCTCCATTACTTTTCATATATCCCTTGATGTTTTTGTAATTTATCGATGATCCATAGCTTGTTATTGCTGGACCTCTTGCAGGTGAGCCTACCATGTTATGATTTGGATTCTCAAGTGTCCACGCATAACCATGGTATGCTAAGCCTATAACAATTTTATTGGCTGGTAAGCCATTCTTGATCCATTCCTTTATACCATAATCTGTATTTCGCGTGCTTGATGGATCATATAAAGCTGAATGTGCTCGTGTAACGTTGTTTTTTGAAGGCAAATAATAGTCATATGATCTGAGATGAACCCAATCGAAGTTTCTAACAATTGTTTCTACTGGATATTTCATCGATTGATCTAGCATTGGTGAATAGTATGCTCCCATAGTTAAGATCAATGAATTGTTGGACTCAGAATTAATCGTTGTTCGCCACTCTTCAATGAATGTTCTCATATTAGTCATGTTTGCAGCTGTATTTGGGTAGACACCATTAAGATCAAGCCCTTGAAATCCATATAGTCGAGCAGTTTTTATTGAACTTGTGATGAATGATTTTCTACGCGAAAATTCACTGGTCATCGCGAAGAAGTCAGGGGATTCATCACTTCCTCCCCATATGGATAGAAGTGTTATAACTGATGGATTATTTTGTTTCACAGTTTTGGTAAAGGTTGAGATATATGGTTCATCAGAGTTATTTATGAAAACCTCGAGAAGACATTTTGAAGTAAAAAGGCGATTTACTAGTTGAAAAAAGGAGGATCCGTTGAACAGTTTTGTAGAGAATAGTTCAATCTTTTTGTGCAATAGGAAAGAGTCCTTTAGAATTCCTTAAATTACGCTCTGATGAGGCTTGAGTATAAGAGGGGTACTTGAACAGAAGGTCGTCTAAGACTAGTGAAAATCGAATTGAGATGCTTAAGATTTCTTGATATCAAGCAATAGTCTTTTGTACTACATGTCTTAATTTTCAATCATGTAATAAACTTTTTGGCAAAGGTCTCAATACTATATTGTTGATTTGTCTATTTTTATATTTACTAACAATTTAACTTTAAAATATTCATTTTATCTCTAGCATGATTTATATCCACATAACATCTATGACTTGTTTAGACCACAAGTTTCAAAAATATTTCTTTCTTTTTTAAACTTCGTGTCAAGTCAAATAACATCACATAAATTGGGACGAAGGGAGTATTAATATACTTGTTGGTAAAAGTCTTAAAACTATAGTGTTGATTTGCCCAACACCTTTGCTTGTAAAAATTGAATTGGTCAATCTGTAGTTTGTGATGAAAAGTATGTTTGGTTACTTTCATAGAAACTACTCCTGGAGTCCTGGTGCGAATTGGAAAGTTAATATAAATTTTGGATACTTGTTCTAGTCATGTTCACATTTATAAATGCATCATC